CCGTCCCCTGGCCTGACTGTACACTGTACCACCTAGCTGTACCGTCCCCGCCTGACTGTATCACTGTACCACCTAGCTGTACCGTCCCTGGCCTGACTGTATCACTGTACCACCTAGCTGTACCGTCCCCTGGCCTGACTGTATCACTGTACCACCTAGCTGTACCGTCCCCTGGCCTGACTGTATCACTGTACCACCTAGCTGTACCGTCCCCTGGCCTGACTGTCATTGCTTAACCTAGCTGTACCGTCCCTGGCCTGACTGATCACTGTACCACTTAGCTGTACCGTCCCCGGCCTGACTGTATCACTGTACCACCTAGCTGTACCGTCCCCGGCCTGACTGTAGCACTGTACCACCCAGCTGTACCGCCCTGGCCTGACTGACACTGTACTACCTAGCTGTACCGTCCCTGGCCTGACCTGTCACTGTACCACCTAGCTGTACCCGCCCTGGCCTGACTGTGGCACTGTACCACCTAGCTGCCCGTCCCTGGCCTGACTGTATCACTGTACCACCTAGCTGTACGTCCCCTGGCCTGACTGTATCACTGTACCACCTAGCTGTACCGTCCCTGGCCTGACTGTATCACTGTACCACCTAGCACCGTCCCTGGCCTGACTGTATCACTGTACCACCTAGCTGTACCGTCGGCCTGACTGTACACTGTACCACCTAGCTGTACCGTCCCTGGCCTGACTGTATCACTGTACCACCTAGCACCGTCCCCTGGCCTGACTGTATCACTGAAACCTAGGTACCGTCCCCTGGCCTGACTGTAGCACTGTACCACCTAGCTGTACCGTCCCCTGGCCTGACTGTATCACTGTACTACCTAGCTGTACCGTCCCCTGGCCTGGATTATCACTGTACCACCTAGCTGTACCGTCCCCCAGCCCGTATCACTGTACTACCTAGCTGTACCGTCCCCTGGCCTGACTGTAGCACTGTACCACCTAGCTGTACCGTCCCCTGGCCTGACTGTATCACTGTACCACCTAGCTATCCCCGGCCTGACTGTCACTGTACTACCTAGCTGTACCGTCCCCTGGCCTGACTGTATCACTGTATCACCTAGCTGTACCGTCCCCTGACCTGACTGTATCACTGTACTACCTAGCTGTACCGTCCCCTGGCCTGACTGTATCACTGTACCACCTAGCTGTACCGTCCCCTGGCCTGACTGTATCACTGTACTACCTAGCTGTACCGCCCCCTGGCCTGACTGTATCACTGTACCACTAGCTGTCGTCCCCTGGCCTGACTAGCACTGTACCACCTAGCTGTACCGTCCCCTGGCCTGACTGTATCACTGTACCACCTAGCTGTACCGTCCCCTAGCCTGACTGTACACTGTACCACCTAGCTGTACCGTCCCCTGGCCTGACTGTATCACTGTACTACCTAGCTGTACCGCCCCTGGCCTGACTGTATCACTGTACCACCTAGCTGTACCGTCCCCTGGCCTGACTGTATCACTGTACCACCTAGCTGTACCGTCCCCTGGCCTGACTGTAGCACTGTACCACCTAGCTGCACCGTCCCCTGGCCTGACTGTATCACTGTACCTAGCTGTACCGTCCCCTGGCCTGACTGTATCACTGTACCACCTAGCTGTACCGTCCCCTGGCCTGACTGTATCACTGTACCACCTAGCTGTACTGCCCTGGCCTGACTGTATCACTGTACCACCTAGCTGTACCGTCCCTGGCCTGACTGTAGCACTGTACCACCTAGCTGTACCGTCCCTGGCTTGACTGTATCACTGTACTACCTAGCTGTACCGTCCCCTGGCCTGACTGTATCACTGTACCACCTAGCTGTACCGTCCCCTGGCCTGACTGCACTGTACCACCTAGCTGTACCGTCCCCTGGCCTGACTGTACTGTACCACCTGCTGTACCGTCCCCTGGCCTGACTGTACTGTACCACCTAGCTGTACCGTCCCCTGGCCTGACTGTAGCACTGTACCACCTAGCTGTACCGTCCCCTGCCTGACTGTATCACTGTACTACCTAATTTCGTCCCCTGGCCTGACTGTATCACTTACCACCTAGCTGTACCGTCCCCTGGCCTGACTGTATCACTGTACCACCTAGCTGTACCGTCCCCTGGCCTGACTGTATCACTGTACCACCTAAGCTGTACCGTCCCCTGGCCTGACTGTATCACTGTACCTGCCTAGCTGTACCGTCCCTGGCCTGACTGTAGCACTGTACCACCTAGCTGTACCGTCCCTGGCCTGACTGTATCACTGTACTACCTAGCTGTACCGTCCCCTGGCCTGACTGTATCACTGTACCACCTAGCTGTACCGTCCCCAGCCTGACTGTATCACTGTACTACCTAGCTGTACCGTCCCCTGGCCTGACTGTAGCACTGTACCACCTAGCTGTACCGTCCCCTGCCTAACTGTATCACTGTACCACCTAGCTGTACCGTCCCCTGGCCTGACTGTATCACTGTACTACCTAGCTACCGTCCCCTGGCCTGACTGTATCACTGTACCACCAGCTGTACCGTCCCCTGGCCTGACTGTATCACTGTACCACCTAGCTGTACCGTCCCCTGGCCTGACTGTATCACTGTACCACCTAGCTGTACCGTCCCTGGCCTGACTATCACTGTACCACCTAGCTGTACCGTCCCTGGCCTGACTGTATCACTGTACCACCTAGCTGTACCGTCCCTGGCCTGAACTGTATCACTGTACCACCTAGCTGCCGTCCCCTGGCTGACTGTATCACTGTATCACCTAGCTGTACCGTCCCTGACTGTATCACTGTACCACCTAGCTGTCCGTCCCTAGCCTGACTGTATCACTGTACCACCTAGCTGTACCGTCCCCTGGCCTGACTGTATCACTGTACCACTAACTGTACCGTCCCCTGGCCTGACTGTATCACTGTACCACCTAGCTGTACCGTCCCCTGGCCTGACTGTATCACTGTACCACCTAGCTGTACCGTCCCTGGCCTGACTGTATCACTGTACCACCTAACTGTACCGTCCCTGGCCTGACTGTATCACTGTACCACCTAGCTGTACCGTCCCTGGCCTGACTGTATCACTGTACCACCTAGCTGTACCGTCCCTGGCCTGACTGTATCACTGTACCACCTAGCTGTACCGTCCCCTAGCCTGACTGTATCACTGTACCACCCTAGCTGTACCGTCCCCTGGCCTGACTGTATCACTGTACCGCTCCCTCCTTACACACACAGAGTATCAGGTGTAAACACTCTTGTAATATGGTGTGGCAGGAGGTGGGCGGGGAGTGGGTGGGCGGGGAGTGGGAGGGCGGAGGAGGGGAGGAGGTGTGTGTGTGAACGCGACTGCGCCCTGGAAAGTGCGCAGATGTCTCGCTGACCCGCTGACGTCATACCCGGGGCTATGATGTCACGCCATCACCTATGACGTCAAGCAAGTTATGACGTAGCATGTTAGTGACGCAACGCCTCCGGCCTGATGACGTCAATACCGTGGCAGGGGCGGGGGCTCTCTCTCTCAGCGTTTTTACCTTCGTCAGCCAGTTTTGTGAATATCAATCATGACTGACTGAATGATTAACTGACAGACAGACATTTTCTTCCAGCCGCTAAGAAGCAATTCATGGTTTGGCTGAGAGAGAGAGAGCTCTCACCTGACAAGGGTCATTGTATTACTCGGAGTGGCTCTCATATTTACTGTCTCATTGGAGCAACAATACAAGTGTTTTATTTGTTAGTTTTGACGTAAGTCGTGACGCAGATAATGACGTAGAAGGTAATGGGCCAATAACGTGACATTATATTAGTGGTGACGTGTTGCAGGTGATGACGTGGGTGACTGACCAATAATGGGTCAGTACAGAGGGATGAACAGTTGCAGGTGATGACGTAGAATGTGACTGATCAATAACTTGTCTGTACCAATCATAGTTATGAAAATTTTAATGTAATGTGACGTCACTACAAAGGACCAATCATCTGGAAAAAATTATCAGTGTGACGTCATTCCAAAGCACCAATCAGCGTCCAGAGAAACAATGAATGACTATGATGTCATTAGAAGGAGCAAATTAACTTACGGAAAAAAATATACCTCCATTTGACATTTGTTGCGACCAATCAGCGCCTGAGATTTGACCCAGAATTAATATTGTTGTTGTTTATGTAATCATCAGTAATATGGACAGTATTATATCCGCCAAAAATTTGTCTGTCTGTTTGTCTGTCCATAACTAGATGAAACTTGGCGTGTGTGTCCGTCCGTCCGTCTGGCTGTATCTTTCCACTCAGGATGATTGAATGTATGTGTGTGGCCCTGAATGTATGTGTGTGGCCCTGAATGTGTGTGTGGCCCTGAATGTGTGTGTGGCCCTGAATGTGTGTGTGGCCCCACATGGTGTAGAGCACATAGTGTAGGCTAGTGTCTACCGTACTGCAGGGAACAACTTGGTGTGTGGGGAGGCCCGATGGGTGAGGGGCTGGCGGAGGAGGGCCAGGTAGGACCAGACGGGCCAGGAGGACCAGAGGGGCCAGGTAGGACCAGAGGGAGGCCAGGTGAGACCAGATAGGACCAGAGGGCCAGGTAGGACCAGGGGGGCCAGGCAGGACCAGAGGGAGCCAGGTAGGACCAGAGGGAGGCCAGGTGAGGACAGATGGGACCAGAGGGGGCCAGGTAGGACCAGAGGGCCAGGTGGGACCAGGGAGGCCAGGTGGGACCAGAGGGAGGCCAGGTGGGACCAGAGGAGGCCAGGTAGGACCAGATGGGACCAGAGGGGCGAGTGGGACCAGGGGCCAGGTGGGACCAGAGGGGCCAGGTGGGACCAGAGGAGGGCCAGGTGAGACCAGATGGGACCAGAGGGGCCAGGAGGACCAGAGGCGGAGGTAGGACCAGGGGGCCAGGTGGGACCAGAGGGAGGCCAGGTAGGACCAGAGGGAGGCCAGGTAGGACCAGAGGGAGCAGGTGGGACCAGAGGAGGCCAGGTAGGACCAGAGGGAGGCAGGTAGGACCAGATGGGACCAGAGGGGCCAGGAGGACCAGGGGGCCAGGTGGGACCAGGAGGCCAGGTAGGACCAGAGGAGGCCAGGTGGGACCAGAGGGGCCAGGCAGGACCAGAGGGGGCCAGGTGGGACCAGAGGGGCCAGGTAGGACCAGAGGAGGCCAGGTGAGGCAGAGGACCAGAGGGGCCAGGCCAGACAAGGGGCCAGGTGGACCAGAGGAGGCCAGGTAGGACAGAAGGAGGCCAGGTAAGACCAGAGGAGACCAGGTAGGACCAGATGGGACCAGGGGGGGCCAGGTAGGACCAGAGGGGGCCAGGTAGGACCAGAGGGGCCAGGTAGGACCAGAGAGGAGCCAGGTGGACCAGAGGGGCCAGGTGAGAACAGATGGGACCAGAGGGGGCCAGGTAGGGACCAGAGGGGCCAGGTAGGACCAGAGGGGGCCAGGTGGGACCAGAGGGGGCCAGGTGGACAGAGGGGCCAGGTAGGACCAGAGGAGGGCCAGGTGAGGACCAGATGGGACCAGGGGGCCAGGTGGGACAGAGGGGGCCAGGTAGGACCAGAGGAGCCAGGTGGGACCAGAGGAGGCCAGGTGGGACCAGAGGAGGCCAGGTAGGGACAGATGGGACCAGAGGGTAGGACCAGAGAGGCCAGGTAGGACCAGAGGAGGCCTGGTGGGGACCAGAGGCCGGGTGGGACCAGAGGGCCAGGTGAGACCAGATGAGGACAGAGGGGGCCAAGTGGGGACCAGGGGGCCAGGTGGGACCAGGGAGGCCAGGTGGGACCAGAGGGAGTGAGTGGGACCAGAGGGGGCCAGGTGGGACCAAGGAGGAGGCCAGGTGGGACCAGAGGAGACCAGGTGGGACCAGAGGGGGCCAGGTAGGGACCAGAGGAGGCCAGGTGGGACCAGAGGAGGCCAGGTGGGACCAGAGGGAGGCCAGGTGGACAGAGGGACCAGAGGGGGCCAGGTGGGACCAGAAGGGGCCAGGTAGGACCAGAGGAGGCCAGGTAGGCCAGATGGACCAGAGGAGGCCAGGTAAGGACCAGGGAGGCCAGGTAGGACCAGAGGAGGCCAGGTGAGACCAGATGGGACCAGAGGAGGCCAGGTAGGACCAGAGGGGCCAGGTGAGACCAGAGGAGGCCAGGTGAGACAGATAGGACCAGAGGCCAGGTGGACCAGAATAGGACCAGAGAGGGGCCAGGTGGGACAGAGGGCCAGGTGGGACCAGAGGAGGCCAGGTGAGACCAGATGGGACCAGAGGGGGAGTGGGACCAGAGGGGGCCAGGTGGGACCAGAGGGAGCCAGGTGAGACCAGAGGAGGCCAGGTGGACCAGATAGGACCAGAGGGCCAGGTAGGACCAGAGGGGCCAGGCAGGACCAGAGGAGGCCAGGTAAGGACCAGAGGGCCAGGTAGGACCAGGAGGCCAGGTGAGACCAGATAGGACCAGAGGAGGCCAGGTAGGACCAGGCCAGGTAGGACCAGAGGAGGCCAGGTAGGACCAGGGAGGCCAGGTAGGACCAGGGAGAGGTGAGACCAGATAGGACAGGAGGCCAGGTGGGACCAGAGGGGGCCAGGGTAGGACCAGAGGAGGGCCAGGTGAGACCAGGTGGGACGAGGAGGGGCCACGTGGGACCAGAGGGGCCAGGTAGGACAGAGGGCCAGGTGAGACCAGATGGGACCAGAGGGGCCAGGTAGGACCAGAGGGGCCAGGTAGGACCAGAGGAGGCCAGGTGGGACCAGAGGAGGCCAGGTGAGACCAGGAGGACGAGAGGGGCCAGGTGGGACCAGAGGCCAGGTAGGACCAGAGGGGGCCAGGTAGGACCAGAGGAGGCCAGGTGAGACCAGATAGGACAGAGGAGGCCAGGTAGGACCAGAGGGGCCAGGTAGGAAGAGGAGGCCAGGTAGGACCAGAGGAGGCCAGGTAGGACCAGAGGGAGGCCAGGTGAGACCAGGTGACGAGAGGGAGGGACCAGAGGGGCCAGGTGGGACCAGGAGGCCAGGTGGGACCAGAGGAGGCCAGGTAGGACCAGAGGGCCAGGGGAGACCAGGATGACGAGAAGGGGCCAGGGGACCAGAGGAGGCCAGGTGAGACCAGGTCGGACAGAGGGGCCAGGTAGGACCAGAGGAGGCCAGGTGAGACCAGGCAGGACCAGGGGGGCAGGTAGGACCAGAGGGGCCAGGTGGGACCAGAGGAGGCCAGGTAGGACCAGAGGAGGCCAGGTAGGGACCAGAGGAGGCCAGGTGAGACCAGGTGAGGACGAGAGGGGCCAGGTAGGACCAGAGGGGCCAGGTGGGACCAGAGGGGAGGCCAGGTGAGACCAGATGGGACCAGAGGGGCCAGGTAGGACCAGAGGGGGCCAGGTAGGACCAGAGGAGCCAGGGGAGACCAGATGGACCAGAGGAGACCAGGTGGACCAGAGGGAGAGGAGGGGACCAGGAGGCCAGGTGAGACCAGATGGACCAGAGGACCAGGTAGGACCAGAGGAGGCCAGGTAGGACCAGAGGAGGCTAGGTAGGACCAGAGGAGGCCAGGTGAGACCAGAGGAGGCCAGGTGAGACCAGATGGACCAGAGGAGGCCAGGTGGGACCAGAGGAGGCCAGGTAAGACCAGAGGAGGCCAGGTGAGACCAGATAGGACCAGAGGAGCCAGGTAGGACCAGAAGAGGCCAGGTAGGACCAGAAGGAGGCCAGGGTGAGACCAGAGGAGGCCAGGTGAGACCAGAGGCCAGGTGAGACCAGATAGGACCAGAGGAGGCCAGGTGGGACCAGAGGAGGCCAGGTAGGACCAGAGGGAGGCCAGGTAGGACCAGAGGAGGCCAGGTAGGACCAGAGGAGGCCAGGTGAGACCAGATAGGACCAGAGGAGGCCAGGTAGGACCAGAGGAGGCCAGGTGAGACCAGATAGGACCAGAGGAGACCCGGTAGGACCAGAAGAGGAGCCAGGTAGGACCAGAGGAGGCCAGGTGAGACCAGAGGAGGCCAGGTGGGACAGGAGGCCAGGTGAGACCAGATAGGACCAGAGGAGGCCAGGTAGGACCAGAGGAGGCCAGGTAGGACCAGAGGGGCCAGGTAGGACCAGAGGAGGCCAGGTGGGACCAGGGGCCAGGTAGGACCAGAAGAGGCCAGGTAGAGCAGAGGAGGCCAGGTAGGACCAGAGGAGGCCAGGTAGGCCCAGAGGAGGCCAGGTAGGACCAGAGGACACCAGGTGGACCAGGAGGCCAGATGAGACCAGATAGGACCAGAGGAGACCAGGTAGGACCAGGGGCCAGGTAGGACCAGAGGAGGCCAGGTGAGACCAGATAGGACCAGAGGAGGCCAGGTAGGACCAGAGGGGCCAGGTGAGACCAGATAGGACCAGAGGAGGCCAGATAGGACCAGAGAGGGGACCAGGTGGGACCAGAGGAGGCCAGGTGGGACCAGAGGAGGCCAGGTAGGACCAGAGGAGGCCAGGTGAGACCAGATAGGACCAGAGGAGGCCAGGTGGGACCAGGAGGCCAGTAGGAGCAGAGGAGGCCAGGTAGGACCAGAGGCCAGGTGGGCCCAGAGGAGGCCAGGTGGGACCAGAGGAGGCCAGGTGGACCAGGTAGGACCAGAGGAGGCCAGGTAGGACCAGAGGAGGCCAGGTGGGACCAGAGGAGGCCAGGTAGGCCCAGAGGAGGCCAGGTAGGACCAGAGGAGGCAGGCCAGGACCAGGTAGGACCAGAGGAGGCCAGGTAGGACCAGAGGAGACCAGATAGGACCAGAGGGGAGACAGGTGAGGACCAGGAGGCCAGGTAGGACCAGAGGACACCAGGTAGGACCAGAGGAGGCCAGGTAAGGACCAGAGGGGCCAGGTGAGACCAGATAGGACCAGAGGAGGCCAGGTGGACCAGAGGACCAGATAGGACCAGAGGAGACCAGGGTAGGACCAGAGGAGGCCAGATGAGACCAGATAGGACCAGAGGAGGCCAGGTAGGACCAGGTGAGACCAGATAGGACCAGAGGAGACCAGGTGGACCAGAGGAGGCCAGGTGAGACCAGATGGACCAGGAGGCCAGGTAGGCCCAGAGGGCCAGGTGGGACCAGAGGACACCAGGTGACCAGAGGAGGCCAGGTGAGACCAGATAGGACCAGAGAGGAGGCCAGGTAGGCCCAGAGGCCAGGTAGGACCAGAGGAGGCCAGGTGAGACCAAATGGGACCAGAGGCCAGGTAGGCCCAGAGGGGCCAGGTAGGACAGAGGGACACCAGGTGGGACCAGAGGAGGCCAGGTGAGACCAGATGGACCAGAGGAGGCCAGGTAGGACCAGAGGAGGCCAGGTAGGCCCAGAGGAGGCCAGAGTGGGACCAGAGGAGGCCAGGTGGGACCAGAGGGCCAGGTAGGACCAGAGGGAGGCCAGGTAGGCCCAGAGGAGGCCAGGTAGGACCAGAGGACACCAGGTGGGACCAGAGGAGGCCAGATGAGACCAGATAGGACCAGAGGAGACCAGGTAGGACCAGAGGAGGCCAGGTAGGACCAGAGGAGGCCAGGTGAGACCAGATAGGACCAGGGAGGCCAGGTGGGGACCAGAGGAGGCCAGGTGGGACCAGAGAGGAGGCAGGTGAGACCAGATAGGACCAGAGAGGAGACCAGGTAGGACCAGAGGAGGCCAGGTAGGACCAGAGGAGGCCAGGTGAGACCAGATGGGACCAGAGGAGGCCAGGTGGGACCAGAGGAGGCCAGGTAGGACCAGAGGCCAGGGAGACCAGATAGGACCAGAGGAGACCAGGTAGGACCAGAAGAGGCCAGGTGGGACAGAGGAGGCCAGGGAGGACAGATAGGACCAGAGGAGGCCAGGTGGACAGATAGGACAGAGGTCAGCAGGTAGGACCAGAGGACACCAGGTAGGACCAGAGGAGGCCAGGGAGGACCAGAGGACACCAGGTGGGACCAGAGGAGGCCAGGGAGGACCAGAGGACACCAGGGAGGACCAGAGGGGGCCGGGGAGGACAAGAGGGGCCAGGGAGGACAAGAGGGGCCAGGGAGGACAAGAGGGGCCAGGGAGGACAAGAGGGCCAGGGAGGACAAGAGGGGCCAGGGAGGACAAGAGGGACCAGGGGAGGACAAGAGGGCTGGGAGGACAAGAGGGGCCAGGAGGACAAGAGGGCCAGGGAGGACCAGAGGGGCCAGGAGGGATAGAGACCAGAGG